CCCCAAAACCCCAAAACCCCAAAACCCCAAAACCCCTATAAATTATTTCTGGCTATAATATAATATATACTAAATTTATTACATAAAATGTCAGACGTGCACGACCTTTCTTACTATGCTAAGTGTATGATGGGAGGTATCCTCTCATGCGGACTCACACATACTGCTGTTGTCCCCCTTGATATTATCAAGTGCAGGAGGCAGGTAGATTCCAAAATTTACAAGTCCTTGGGTGACGGATTCAAGACTGTTAGAGCTGCCGAAGGAATGAGAGGACTCACTGTTGGATGGGTTCCAACCTTCATTGGATACTCTGCTCAAGGTTTCGGTAAATTTGGATTCTATGAAATCTTCAAGGATGTCTATAAGAAAATCGTAGGAGAAGAAAATGCCGCCAAATATCAGACTACTGGATTCTTGGTTGCTTCCGCTTGAGCCGAATTCATTGCAGATATTCTTCTCTGCCCATGGGAATCTTTGAAGGTTAGAACCCAGGTAGACATGACTGGCAAGTTCCCAAGGAACCCAGTAGCCGGATTCAACCTCATCAAGGCCAAGGAGGGTACCAATGGATTCTATAAGGGCCTTTCCCCACTCTGGTTCAGACAGATTCCTTATACTATGGTTAAGTTTGCCTGCTTCGAGAGAACTGTCAGATATGTGTATGCCAACTGGCTCACTAAGGACCCAAGCGAATACTCCAAAGCCACCAAGCTTACCGTAACTTTCTTGTCTGGATACTGGGCTGGTATTTTCTGTGCCGTTGTTTCACACCCAGCAGATACTATTGTATCCAAGTTAAACTCTTCAAAGTCTGAAGGATCCACCTTTGCCAAGATCGGAGAGATCATGGGAGAACTCGGATTCATGGGAGTCTGGAGAGGATTAGCCACAAGAATTATCATGATTGGTACCTTAACTGGTCTCCAATGGTGGATCTACGATACCTTCAAGACACTCACTGGGTTACAAACAACTGGAGCAGTCTCAAAGAAGAAGTAATTTCGAGAAGTGATAGAATAACAAGCATTGTTTATTTGATTTTCTTCAATACGACCTAGTATACGAGGGGTTTTGGGGTTTTGGGGTTTTGGGGTTTTGGGGTTTTGGGG